CCTCAAACGAATTAATAACTGCACCCTCATTGTACTAAACGTCATGCTATAATACGAACCTACCCGATAAAATATGTTAACGTTAACTCTGCTAGGAATATAAAATAATCGTATATTTAAAAGTAAAAATTTTATATAAAATAGAATGGGCACCAAGAACATTGAACAAGCAGAACTCTTCTATTGTTCAAAACAAACTGGCATTTAGGCAAAAAGGTTACATATTCAGTTACCTAAACTTCGATGACGTGGCAAGAACCCACGGACATTCATTCGCAACGGAGAATCTGCGTGTGAAGTGCTGGTTTGCAACAAGCCCCACACATCTCCCGATCTATCCCCATATCTTTCCGAAAACGCCGACCAATGAAAACGCTCGACAGAAATGTCGTCCACGTGTTCTGTGCGCATCTGCGAAAGGAGGTAAACAGAAATATATCCCGATTCATCGGGGTGGTCGTAAAGGTCAAGAAGGGAAGTCGACAATCAGCAGGAATAAAACCAGCGCACACGATGGTTAACTGCCGGGAAGAGCGGTACACCAGATTTCACGTGATCAATCATCGAAAACCATCAGCCTCCAACATGGAAAATGACCCCCTCCCCCCCCCCCCCCAACATACTCGGCAGTTTCACATTTTTCTGATGGGCGAGGAGGTGACGGAGGAGGCGGAAGCGGTGGAGCTGGAGAGGGAGGAAAACGAAAGCGACGGAAGGGAGGAGAGCGTGATGGGAGGGGTGAGGAGGACGGGGAGGACGATGACGAGGGCTTTGGAGGCATCCAGGAAACCAGGGCCCCTCGAGGACCTCCGAGACCGCAGTTTCGGGATTCAATGGACGCGTGATCGCGATATTGCGAGTGCGCGTTTGCTTCTTACGTAACGCATTGACGCATTGCACTTCACGCTGTGAGGGGTTGGTGATGGATGGAAGCCATGGTTGGGTTGATTGGTAGGTACTGGTAGTTCTAGTCTAGAATCGATAATCATCAGCGCTCCACCTCCTTTAGGGCTTGGTCTGCACGGTTGTAATGCTGATGTGGTATATTACATCAATTTCCCAAATGCATTACAACAAATTTCCCATTCGTCAATGCGTATGTGATGGCTTCAATCCATTTCTTCTGATGCTGTGTAATATGCAGGTTTACTTGATAACGTCTTTTATATGTGCAGTGCATAATCAGTTTCACTGTTCAGAAATTCGACATAAGCAACGAGTCACCTAGAGTACTCATCGCGCCGCTATGTGTGCAGCTCGTCTTGTACATTCTCAGCACGTTATCACACGGTAGAATGCGGTATCAGCTTCGTACGTCATGCCCGTTTTGAACCGTATGATGCTCCAGCAATACCACTATACACCTATCGATTCCAAGCAGTCGAGGACAACAACACCATTCAATGCAGCGCCGACAACCCCTGCAATTATCGAAGCACAGATTGAACACATGAACGTCAGTCGGCTGCCTTGGAAAAGGAGTGGATGCGGAGTTAGGTGTGAGGCAGGGTTGCCCATTGGGGCCCATTGGACATGAACGTTAGTCCAAGTAGCACCACTAACATGAACGTCGTTAAATCAATTTCTGAGAATCGCATTCACATGTTAGTCGTAGAAATGCCGGGCTCTCCCCGCCGAGACGTCGCTCTACAGCCGTGACGCAACGCGACGCGACAACCACGAAGCTTCTCATCATGGCCTTATCGTGGGTGCTGCAGCGCGCGTTGTCGTTACGTTCTGTATCAAGCAGTACGAAGTCATGCTGAAAGACATCATATAAGTCAGCTGCTTAATCCATGCCAAAGAGACTCATTACCACTGATACTACAAGCAATAGAACTGCTGTCAGCGGCAAATCTTGTCGTCCCCCAGCCATGGAAAAAGTCCCCAGTTCCTTGCTGCTCGCTCTCTCGATGGTGCTCGTCTGCCTCGCGTTGTTCCCTGCCGCATTCGCGGGCCGGGTGCACGTTCCTCTCACGCGACTGGCGCACGACGAATACCTCCGTCAGCGACAGCTGAGCGACCGTGAGCGAAAACTGACCGATGTCGTCGGCCGCGGCTCTGAGCCTCCGCTGCACATGTTCGAATCAATTTCCAGCTTTGACGAGGAGCGACACGAGGAGGGAGGTCAGGGAGGCACGTTGGACGATTTGTTAGCCACTCCCATCAAATACCTAGGTGGTCCCGTGCTGAGCGGAGAGACGCTGAATATATACCTAATATACTACGATTACTGGCCAGCAAAAATCGGACAGAATGTGATCGAGAGAATTTTATTCAGTCGCTGAGTCTAAATAGCTCCGATGCTCAGGGGGGAGCCGGGGATCCGAAAGTGAGCAACTGGTGGGCGACGAGTTCGAAATACTTCTCGAATTCGTCTGACGGGTCTAAGGCAACCGTCAGCAAGGAGGTATGTCAAATGTTCCTGCGGAGATAACTACTACAACGGGAGCTAGTCCACTGGTTAGGCACGTGTGCTCGTGTGATGTCTGCGTTCGTTGGTCCTTAGACGTTTTCCTAGTGCTCACACTACTTGCTAATTCATGGGTCAATTTGGCAAGAGTTTCACTAGAGAAAAGATCACAACAATGGTACAATGAAGTTGGCAAGGCAAGACTACATCAGAGCTAGCATTCAGGTTGGTCAACTGCCAGCACAGCATGGTCGACCGCGATCCAACACGACTTGGTCGACCGCGTTCCAGCAGTGCAAAGTCGACAGCTTGCCAACGTTGCAGGTCGACGGTGTGCCAGCAGTGCACCTGCTTTGCAGGTGCGTGCAGATGATTGGTATGCCGAGCCTCATCACCTGCACAGCACACACACACCACGTCAGCCTCGGGCTGACGGCTGCCTCTGATCCGTCACGTCGACCTCGGGATACCACCACCAAGGTCGGTCTCGCCAACTTCGCCTGGGCGACCGTCGCACGCCTCCGCAGCACTTCGTCACCCAGGTAACCTGGTCGACCGGGCAACCACATCGACCAGCAACTCCCGTACGTGTCCGTCGACCTCCCAAGTCGACGACCACCTTGTTGTCGACCTCACCAAGTTGACCACGCCCCTTGATCGACGACCGCGTCGCTCGACGTCCTGACTGCTCGACGCCGTCCCCTCCTTCGTCGACCACCGGGTCCAGTCGACCACCCGCAGATCGACCAGCATGTCAGCCGACCACCGAAGTCGGCTTCCCCAAGTCGAAGTCACCAAGTTGACGTCCTCCGCAGGTCGACTCCTAAGTCGACCTCCCCGAAGTTGGCGCCGCCCTGAAGTCGGCGCCCGTGCAGTGGTCCTCGTGCATGTTGACCTCCTCGTCGACAAGCCCGCCCACTGCTACAGGTCGGCTGCTCCCCTACCACCCGACCACGAAGTCGGCTCCGCCCAAGCGTGGACGGGGCCAACACACAACTCCCGTTGACACTCCCTTGCCGCGTTCACGCTTGGGCACCCAGCCCACACGGTAGTACAGCTCCGAGAATAGCTCGTCGACGTGCACCCAACACGCCGCACGTCGTCCACCGCACCAGCCATGCAAGAGGGCATGGCACCTACTGCTGCACGTCGTTATCGCCGTCGCCCACGTCGGCCAAGCGCACCTGGCCGATTGCGACGGAGCACCGGTTGAAGGCCGGATAGTGCAGCGCCTTCGTCAGGAAGTCGGCTGGCTGCTCAGTGGTCGGGATGTACCTCAGCGAGAACTTCCCGCGCTTCACCATGTGCTGCAGCCAGGCCTGTCGCCGCTCCATGTGCTTGAGGTTGCCCGTCAACCCCATGCCCTCAGCGACTGTGATGGCCGACATGTTATCCACCCGAAGGACGGTCGGCTTCCCGGCATCCAGCTGCCGGAACTCTGCAAGGAGGAAGCGAGGTCGGCGTCCTTCCTTGCCGGCTTCGGTGGCTGCCATGTACTCCGACTCAGTCGACGACAACGTCGCGCACTTGATGCGCTGGCTCGACCAGGAGACTGCGGCCCCTCCATAGACGAACACGTAGCCACTCGTGCTCGTCCTGTTCTGCTTGTCACCGGCGTCCACGTAGCCGACCAACTTCAGCGACTTAGGTCCACCGCCGAACTCCAGGGCGGTGTCGCGCGTATTGGCGAGGTAGGCAAGACAGCGGTCGACCTCGCGCCAGTGCTAGTCGTTCC